GAGCGGGTCCAGAACCACGGAGCCGAGCGGGTCCAGAACCACGGAGCCGAGCGGGTCCAGAACCACGGAGCCGAGCAGGTCCAGAACCACAGAGCAGCAGGAACCGGTGTCAGCAGGGATGAAAGCGGGCCCGGTCCAGGGCCCAGCAGAACCCCAGGGTGAGGTCTGCCTCCTGTGGAGACCTGGATCTGATAAAATGTTTTTACAGTTTTATGTTGACCCTCTAAAACCCCAGGTCCTGGTCCATCTGTGACCCAGCCCAGATCTACAAGACTTGAACCCACCTCAGAACCTAAAGTGTCAGACAGAACCAGGTCCAGAGAGAACTCCTCCCCCAGGAGGAGGAGGAGACCATCCAGGTCCCCCCGGAGGAGCAAAGAAGCCAAGAGCTCAAAGAAACAGAGAAGATCCAGGTCCCCTCACAAGACCTACAGGAGGAGGTCCAGGTCCAGGTCCAGGTCCAGGTCCAGGTCCAGGAGTCGCTCAGTCAGGAAGAGGTCTCGGTCCAGGTACTGGAGTTCTCCTGGTTCAGCTCCTCAGTTTGTGTTGGACCTGATGTTCTGATCCTGTCGTAGGTCCTGGACCAGGCGGTCTCGGAGGTCCCGTTCACGGTCTGGGTCCCGCAGCCGCAGGAGGCCCGCCTACAGCCAGAGGGACCGCTGGAAACGAGAACCGAGCCACTCCCCCGTCCTCATCCTCCGCAAGAAGAGGTCCCCGACCCGCAAGAACCGCAGCCGGAGCAGCAGCCCCCACCGGATCAGTGACCTGGGTCAGTTCCACAGTCCGGTCTTCTGGACTGGACCGGACCTCTGATGTACGGTTTGTTTACTGTGTGTGTGTGTGTGTGTGTGTGTGTGTCCTCAGACAAGGACCAGCTCCTGAGGATAGCCAAGGCTAACGCTGCAGCCATGTGTGTGAAGGCGGGCATGCCGGTCCCAGCCGGTCTCCAGTCCACGGTCCTGGCTCTGCCGGGCCTGGCCATGAACGCTGCGGTGGCCAGCATGACGGCAGGTAGGCTCCTCCCACTGACTGTTGGATCACTGACCCGGTTCTGTCTCTGACGGGCTGCGTGTGGTCCTGCAGCCTCGGTGACGGCCGCCCTGTCCAACATGGGCACCCTGTCCTCCCTGCTGCCCTCCATGACCCACAGAGCTCCGCCCCCCCTGCAGAGCTGCAGCGCCGCCCTGGAGGAGCTGAAGAGGAAGGTGGCCAAGCAGGCCAACAGCATCAGCATCAAGGAGTTCACTGACGTAAGACCACCTGACCCAGGTCCAGACTGATACCTGAGACCTGACCCAGGTCCAGACTGATACCTGACCCAGGTCCAGACTGATACCTGACCCAGGTCCAGACTGATACCTGACCCAGGTCCAGACTGATACCTGACCCAGGTCCAGACTGAGCCTCAGACCTGACCCAGGTCCAGACTGATACCTGACCCAGGTCCAGACTGAGCCTCAGACCTGACCCAGGTCCAGACTGATACTTGACCCAGGTCCAGACTGAACCTCAGACCTGGACTGTAGCTTCCAGCTGCACTTCATACCTTCAGACAACAGGTGGAGCCAAAGTTCTAAACTCAGGAAGAGAAGAAAATAAACAAGAATCACAAAACATCTAATCTGAGAACAAACAAACAAACAAACAAACAAACAAACAAACAAACAAACAAACAAACAAACAAACAAACAAACATCAGGTTTTAAGTATTTCAACTGCATCAAAAACTTTAGTCAGAAACATCTTTTTCTTTTGATTCCTACAAAGACTGTAGGTTTACATTTGTTAAAATAGCAAAACAGTAGCTAAAACTAGCAAAACAGTAGCTAAAACTAACAAAACAGTAGCTAAAACTAACAAAACAGTAGCTAAAACTAACAAAACAGTAGCTAAAACTAGATAAAACATTTATCAGTCAGAGTAAATTCTGGATGTTGTTTAAAATGTAAACAGGAACAAGGTGGAACTATTTTCATGTCTCTTAAAGTCGTATTTAATAGACAAACAAACAACAAACGTCTGATGATTGAATCAGGAAGTAAAACAGATTTTTTTATTAAAGGAAGACAAATTAAAGTTGATGTCAACGTCAGTACAAATTAGAGCAGGTCTGAAGGTTTAGGAGGACCTGAGGAGACCAGTTCTGGATGGGACCAGATGTTCTAGATGTGTCAGCCGCTCATAGAGGCACTTATGCACCCCCACACCATCAGAGAGGCAGGTTCTGAACGGTCCTTGTTGCTTGTYGGTGTGTTTACAGAAATGTCAGATGATCGTGGACAGCAGCGGGGAGCTGCCCGTGGCTCTTCCTCACGTCTCTGATGAAGAGGATGACGTGTCGGTGTTTGGAGGAGGAGTGGCGGCGGTTCGGGAGCAGAAGGTCATCAGCTTCAACATCACGGTAAGGTCTGGACAAACGTCTCCTCCATGTCCTTCACGTCATGTCCTCCTCTCTCTCTGTCCCCGTCAGAACTCCACGGTCCGTCCCTCGGCTCGCTGCGATGCAGAAATGGCCAAAGAGTTTCCCGTGTCCTCGGGGTCCCAGCATAGGAAAAAGGTCTGAACAGGTCCAGGCTGGACCAGGACCCYGTCCTCCACGGATCAGGCAGGTTCTCACATGGTGTCTTTGTGTAGGAGGGGGACGGGATGGGCGCCTACGGGGAGTGGGTTCCTGTGGAGAAACCTGCAGGGAAAGCTGCCAATGGTTCCAGGAAGTCCAGCGGTCCCAGCGTGGCCACATCTTCATCTTCATCATCRTCTTCTACAGCAGCAGCAGCTGAAGCAGCCGTTAGCACAGCGCTACCTGACGTTAGCGAGCAGCCGACACCCGACAGGGACAGTGTGTTTCCTGAACCACGACTACAGGTGAGACACCACCTAGATCCACCAGAGTCTGAGTCCAGCAGGTGAGGAGTGTCCTCAGTGTGGGACAGTTTAGGTCCATCAGGGGGGGTTGGGACCAGAGGCTGAGNGGACAGTTTAGGTCCATCAGGGGGGGTTGGGACCAGAGGCTGAGCCTGTGAACATAAACAGGAAAGGACTAAGAACACAGCCTTGAGGTACTCCCTGAGGAACACAGTCTCTGAACACATGGACCGGTTCTGAGTTTGCTGTCTAAAACTGACAGGTCAGTCTGAGACAGGTGTTGACCTTTGACCTCTGCCTGTCTGTCTTCAGCCCGTGGACATTTCTCAGGCGGTGACTGAGAGGATCAAAGCTCAGAGACGATTGGCTGAGAATCCTAACGACGTCAGCGCCATGTGCATGCTGAGCCGGGCTCAGGAGCAGGTACTGCYTCAGTTTGGATCTTCAGCTAACATTTAGCTACTTTTCTTTGAGATAACCTTTCTACTGTGTAGATCAGGCCTATTCAATTATTTTTTCTGCTGGGCCAGATTAGAAAATTTTGAGATGCCACTGGGCCGAAGACCCCCCTACTTATATTATTTCTTGACATTTAACTTTAAATATGCTACCACATGAACAAAATCATAAAA